GGTGGTTTGAGCCCATAGGATTCCAGCCTAGGAAACCCTGTGTGGCAGTTCTAAATATCTTGTGGGTTGCTATGAGTCAGAATCAATTCGACAGCACCTAATAACAACAACAGCCTAGTATCAAACAGAAAGTAGATATTTAATAATATTTATTGTCAAGGGAATTCTCTTCATTTCTTCTGTGTCCTAGAGGGATAATCACAGTCTTATTCTATAATGATCATAGTTCCAGGATAATGATCATGGTGTATTTCACTACCATGGCAATAGTTGTCTTGAATGTTAATTTCAATTGAAGTTTCATCAGGGATCAATTGCCCTCCCCCCCCACACACACACACAAAAAAGTTTTTCTGTGCCATTTTTAATCAGTAATGAGAAATGAGCAAGGTGTGATGTACTGAGATGTAACAGCCTAACAGAAATGTGTCTCTTTTTCCTAGGAGTCCAGAGGAAATGCAGGGGTGGATAAACAAAATTAATTGTGTTGCTGCTGTATTTTCTGCACCACCATTTCCAGCAGCCATTGGCTCTCAGAAGAAGTTTAGCCGCCCACTTCTGCCTGCCACTACGACAAAATTGTCTCAGGTAAGTCATTGTGTCTGTGCTTTGAGCTTGGAAAAAGTGCTTTGTAAAATAATCTTATTACTAATATATATATTTGAATAATACTTCACATTTGGAACAGAGAAGCCCTACCTTGGATGGGTGTGTTGTATGAAGCAGAATGCAGTATACTGGGTTTTACACTTCTTGTGGGAAGCTGGCACGATTGGTAGGACACATTCATTGACATTCACTGAATTTGTTTTCTGAAAGTTTTATTTACTAATCAATCAGTTGTATTTAACTGGTTCTTGTTTTTCTTCTTACTATCAGCTCATATTTTTAAATGACTGGCTAGTGTTAGGGAGAAATCCTGGCTTGGTTACAAGCTATTCATTCCTTCATTTATTCATGTAATTGAACATTTACCATGACCCAGGCTATATTTGGTGCTGGGAATATAAAAACATCCCCAGATATCCACTACTCACAGTACAGTGAGGAAGAGCCTTCCCTACCCCTCAGTGCAGAGCTAAGTGGACCATTGGGGTTTTCTAATCAAGACAGAGTATACCAGAACTCTGTTCAGCTTCCCTCCTGATGTCAGATTGATCGTTCCAAAGCCCAAATTTCATGTCTCGGTCCTACTTAAAACTCCATTTTGAGGACATTAGAACCTCTGAAGTGGCCAAAGTATATAACATGACACATAAACAGATTTAAACCTGGCTCGGTGCCTCTGTTGTCATTGACTAGTTCAAGTATTTTGGAAGCTACTTTAATGTCTGAATTTCTTGTTGATGCAACAATGCAATTAGATCATCCGACAATGATCAACCAGGTCTTGGTATTACCTGGCCCTTCTACACATCTCTGGTGTCATGATTATCAATGACACATTTATTTGACAAATATGCATTGTGTTCCTGCTGTGCATCAGAGACTATTTTAGGTTCCCGGGATACAAAGGTATGTGAAACTCAGACCCTCTCCTGAAGGAGTGTCAGATACAAATAAGCAAATAATTGTAATGCAGTTTGATTAGAGATACAGAAAGGATAAGTCCATAATGATATGGGGGGTACAGGCAAGGACCATCTAACCTGGCCTTGGAGGTGAAGGAAGAAGTGTGATATCTAATATGAAGCTTAAAGGATGAGCAGGATTAGGTGAGGGGTGGGAAGAGAGAGTAAAATGATCCAGCAGAGGAACGAAGGCCCAGAGGAGAGAACACAGGGATGCGGGAACCATACAGAAGTATCTAATGTGACTTGAGTTCAGAGTGTTGAGAAAAGCCAAAAAATGTTCCCGTGTGGAGGTAAGCAAGTGCCAAATCAGGAAAAGTCTGTTTGTCATGTATAGGGTTTTGCATGCTTCATTGTTCCCCAGCATTCTTAGGATATAGTTTAAGCAGGAACATAATATGATCTAGTTTGTGCTTTAAAGATTAGTTTCACTACAATGAGAAGAAAGTATTGGAAGAGGGTAACACTAGAAGCAGAAGGGCCAATTTTAGAAGCTCTTTTAGTAATCCAGAGGAGAAATAACTAAGTTAGTTTTAGAAGAGATAGATAGAAGTGGAAGTGCCTGAGAGATCCTGAGGGTGTAGAATGGATAGTTTTAGTGGCTGATTGAAGTGGAGGGATAGGGGTGTCTTCTAGGATTGGGCAGCTAGAGACTGTGCTCTCTAACCCAGCTTTTAGGACCTCATTGTCTCCTGGTTTCTCTCCTGCTACTTCTTCTTAGAGTCCTTTCCTGGAGCCTCTTCCTCTTTCTTAACTCCAAATGCTGCAGTGGCCCAGGGCTCAGTAGAACACCAAGACAGACACTGGAGAAACACTAACCTTTGAAACATTCGTTTAAAAAAATTAACTAGGTAAAGGAGGAAAAAAAAAACCCCAGGGAGAATGTTGTTGTGCCAAGAAAAAGGCAAAAAATTCAGGTAAAATTCTGACCAAAAAAAATCTGTCATCTTAAGTATCAGGAAGGCCATTAAGTAGCCTTGGTGAGAGCAGTTTTGATGGAGCGTCAGGAGCAGAAGACATGTTGGGCTTCTCTGCCAAGCAAAGGAAAGAAAGGTCGTGAGGAAGTGGAGGAAGGGAACGCGGACAACTCCTGCCATGAGTTTGTAAAAAAGAGAAAAGCTAGTAGTTAGAAGGGAGAAGACGTGGTCTGAGGAAAGATTTTTAAGTTTTAATTATTACTAAAAATAGAGAAAGTGAAGAAGACTTGAAGCACTTAAACTGATGAAGATCAAAGACTACAGCCTTCAGGATGGATTACACCTCAAAGAAAACAAAAATCCTCACAACTGGACCAGTAAGCAACATCATGATAAATGGAGAAAAGATTGATGTTATCTGGGATTTCATTTTACTTGGATCTGCAATCAACACCCCTGGAAGCAGCAGTCAGGAAATCAAATGATGCATTGGGCAAATCTGCTGCAGAAGACCTCTTTAAAGTGTTCAAAAACAAAGATGTCACATTAAGAATGAAAGTGTTCTGACTTAAGCCATGGTGTTTTCAGTGGCCTCATATGCATACTAAAGCTAGACAATGAATAAGGAAGACCGAAGAATTGACGCCTTTGAGTTAGGTGTTGGCAAAGAGTACTGAATATACCATGGACTGCCAGAAGAATGAACAAATCTGTCTTGGAAGAAGTACAGCCAGAATGCTCCTTGAAAGGGAGGATGGCGAGACTTTGTCTCACATACTTTAGACATGTTATCAGGAGGGAGAGGTCCCTGGAAAAGACAGTCGTGCTTGGTAAAGTACAAGGTCAGCGAAAAAGAGGGAAACCCTCAAGGAGATAGATTTACACAGTGGCTGCAACAATGGGCTCAAGCATAACAATGATCGTGAGGATGGTGCAGGACTGGCAGTGTTTCCTTCCATTGTATGTAGGGTTGCTATGAGTTGGAACCAACTGAATGGCACCTAACAACAATAACAACATGTATTGAATGCTTACTGTACAAGCATTACTATTGCTATGTAGTTCATATACTACTGAAAAAAATAGAAGGGACCAAGCTAGCTCAATTTCCAGGGCAAAATGGCATTGATTTTCAAGGATAATAAATATTCTAAGCAAAAGGGAAGGCTTTACCTCTTTTTTGACTGTTGGCTGACTTCTCTATCTACTTAATTAAATATGAACTCTTAAACAGATGCATTTCCCTGCTTTAAATTGGGGTACTTAACATAAACAATAAACCGCATACATAAAGGAAGGGAGGAAAATAATTGGAGACAGAAATTACCTTTCTGTAGTCCCCCCACCCCCCCCCCCCATTAATTTCATTAGGAGTTCTCCAGTTGTTATTATTTTTCATTAGATTAGTCTTTCTCACAATCACTCCTCCAACCAGGGGAGAAGATGAGTTGAAGCTAAGAGGAATGTTAATGACCGTGTTGTTATTATTTTTCATTAGATTAGTCTTTCTCACAATCACTCCTCCAACCAGGGGAGAAGATGAGTTGAAGCTAAGAGGAACGTTAATGACTGTGTCCTTCTTGAAAGCTTTATGTAGCTTAGGGCAACATAGGAGTTTTTTCTTATCCTTCCCTCACTATAGGATCTACAGTTCTGTTTACTTTCTAATTTGACAAATATACTGCTGATGTATTTATGTCTGGTCCATGAAGTAATAAGTCACTAGCACATGAAAAGGAATGTGTAGAATCCCAATGTGTGCTTTTGCTAGGAGGCCAGGCAAGCAAGCACTTATATCAAGATGGAAGCTCTTATTATAAGCAAATATCTTAAACTGGAACCAAAAATAGAATGCTTACATTTTTTATATTTTTCCTCATCTTGGACATAAATCCACAGAAATGGAAAAAATACATATGTAGCGTGATCAAAGTGATGAATTCAGGATTTTAAATAAGAAAGCAGTAACCAAAAAGAAGCATCCTCAAGGGACACAGAAGACAAGATGGCCAAGCTGTTTCAGGAATTTAATTTCTTTGAAAAGGAGTAAGAAGAACTCTCAAAAAAGTCATCTAGCTTTTGTGTGTCTCAGTTTTCCATCAGGAGAATGAGAAGATCATTTAGAATGTCTTTAAGTTTCTTTCTAGCACTAACTTGGTACTGTTTCTTTGCCCAGGTCATAATCTTAATGTTTGTTTACTAAAAATGAAAAGGATGTTTTGCCTTTGAGAGTAATAATGAGAATTTAGGAACAAACATGTAAACCCAAGCATATGATAAAGGATAGGTTAGAAAGAGGGAGGAGAGAGTTGCTTCATACACAGCCTGGTGCAGATGTGTGTGGTACCGTCTACTTCCTATAGGGACTCTTGGAGGCGGAGTCTGTGCTGAAGTCCTAGTGCACCTCCAGGGAATCCTGGAATATGTGTCTGGATGTGCCCGTGACTTCTCTAATACCTCACAGACTAGTCCTGATTATTTAGCCCAAGATTTCTCAACCTTGGCACTATTGACATTTTGGGCTGGATAATTCTTTGTTGTGTGAGACTATCCTGTGAATTGTAGAATGTGTAACATCATCTCCAGCTTCCATCCATTAGATGCCAGTAATAGCCCCCCATTTGTCTGACATCTGCAGGCATCGTCAGATGTCCTCTTGGGTCAAAATCCAGCCCCCTCCTTTTGAAATTATTATTGTTGGTTGCCATCAAGTCGATTCTGACTCCTGATGACTCCATGTGTACAGAGAACTGCTCCATAGGGTTTTCAAGGTCATGACCTTTCAAAATCAGATCGCCAGGCCTTACTTCTAAGGCATCCCTGGGGAGGTTTGAACAGCCAACCTTTCAGTTAGTAGTCGAGCACTTAACCATTTTACCACAGTGGTTCTGAATCTCTGAGACTCACCAATTTTCCTTTCTCCATAGTCCTAAAACCTGGCTGTGACTCCCCTGAATACCAGAACCACTTGGATAATTTCAATTTACAAAATAACTGTAGAATATTGCAAAGGCCCTCCTGGAAAAAAAGTTAAACAGTGTTAGCAAAAAAATTAAACGTTCAATTAAAAGACTCTTGGGTACTTTTAAAAAACAGATTT